TGGCAAGTGATCATTTGGAAATTGATTTTCTGTGAATTATACAAATGGCTTTACCTTGTTCTATAGTTGACTTTCCTTCCAGTTTCATGAAGACTTCATTCAGAGTTGACATGGAAACATCATAACCCATCACTCCCTGGGCAGAATACTTATCAAGAGCACTGAAAAGATCTAAGGCAAAAGACAGGAATAGATATTTTGAAAAAATACAGCAATAACTAAACCAACTAAATTAATACTTATTTAAAAGATGATGCAGAATATTGTTTGGAAAATCATGTCTTTGGAATATCACAGTAGTCAAAAACAAAATTTCATTAGAATGCTCTCACTCTCTTTAATGACTCTGTCAGATCTCTCCCTCTGTCCTCAAACTGTCTGTTCTCCATCTTCTATTCTCAGCTTATGAACTTCCTACAGGCTTTTCTGAGGAAATATGAGCAATCAGAAGGACTATCATCTCCTCACCTCCACACTACAAATCTACACATATCTCTACCCATATTCTGGGTTTTCCTTCTGTATAGGTCTTTCAGTGGTTTCTCAATGCATTTAATATGACAATCAAAGTCAATAACACAATCTCTGAGGCTCCATAAGAGCCACTCTCCATCTATTCATACAACTCCACCCATCCCGACTTGCCATTCTGCCCCCTCACTCACTGCCCTGCAGACATCCCCTTTTCCCCTCTACTCAGAATGCTTTGACCATTTTCTTCTCATGGCCTTCAGTGACCACTTTATATAAACCCCATTCTGACACTTGTCATCACTCTAACTCATGTAGCCTTGTTTATTATTTTATTGTACAATTGTAGAACAATTTTATTTTGCATATCCACTTTTCCCCATCCTGTTAAATGTAGGTAGGCTCTTTGAGGATGGGAACTCATGTGTCTTATTTAATGCTGTACTTCTAGCGCCTGGAGCAGTGCCTTTTGTATAACAGGTTCCCAATACATATTTCTTGGGTAACTATTCCAGGAGGCAACTTGGATAAGGATGCAAGTTTGTAGGAGAAGACTCTCTCATCATGCTGCTTTCTACGTTGGGTGGGGCAATAAGCCAACAACATTACTGAAAGGAATTAGACGGATGAGACTGTAGCAAGCACTGTGTTTCCCTATGGCCTGCACGTGTCAGGCAGGGCACCTGCAGTCCCATGTCCTGGAATGGACACAAACATGCCATTACACTAACAGAGGCCTTGGGTCTGTGTAAAGAGGCTACCACGGGCCAGGAAGTCAACACTAGAGACTCTGACTAAGTGACATATTACAGTGGTGGTACCAACATATAACTCCTTATCTTTCTCTGAACAAAAAAGAAAGTGGGCCAGCTGTCCCTCATGGGGTCTTAGTCCAAGAACAGAACAATATAGTATAGTCCACCAATCTGAGAACACTGTCTTCCATGCTACCACAAGGACATAGAGAGCTGCCATATTTGGGGGTGGGGCTAAAATCAGAATTCCTGAGTATTTGCCTAATGAGACTAAATCATCCAAAAGAGCTTATTTAGGTTACACTTATAGGGAATTAAACATTTAATAAGATAAATGTCTAAACAAAAAGGATGCTATTTGAATCAGAAGAGACTGAAATACATTTCCTTATTTGTAAAACAGGGAAAATTATACCACCCACCTCACAGAACAGTTGTGAGGACTAAATGAGTTGATACATATGAAACCATTAGAACAGTGCCTAACATCCAGTAAGCATTGTACAAGAGTTAGTGATACTTAGATTATTTATCAAATGAAACCTAGGTTGGTACTGCTACCTTTCTGGCTGGGAAACTATGTTGAACACTTCTGTAGAATAAATAAGTTATGTTTTTCTCTGCAAAATAATGCATGTACAATTGAATTAAAATAGAGTAATCCCTCGTTATTAGTAGTTTTGCTTTCCACAGTTTCAGTTAGCCCCAGTTAACTGCAGTCCAAAAATATTAAATGAAAAATTACAGGAATAACAATTTAGAAGTTTTCAATTACATGTCCTTATGAATAGTGAAATTTTGCACTGTCTCACTCATTTCTGACTGGGATGTGAATCAACACCTTGTCCAGCAGATCCATGCTTTCTATACACACTACCCACCTATAGTCACCTAGTAGCTATCTTGGTGATGGCTATCAGATCAACTGTCAAGATATTGCAGTGCTTGTGTTCAAATAACTCTGATTTTACTTAATAATGACCCCAAAGGGCAAGAGTAGTAATACTGGAAATTTGGACATGCTAAAGCAAACCTGTAAAGTGTTTCCTTTAAGTAAAACAGTGAAAGTTCTTGACTTAATAAGGACAGAAAAAAATTGTATGCTGAGATTTCTAAGATCTCTGGTGAGAACGAATCTTCTATCTGTGAAATTCTGAAGAAGGCAAAAGAAAGTTGTGTTGGTTTTGCTGTTGCACTTCAAACTGCAAAAGTTATAGCCACAGTGCATGATAAGTGCTTAGTTAAGATGGAAAAGGCACTAAATTTGGGGGTAGAAGATGGGAACAGAAACGTGTTCTGATTGACAGTAGTTGGGTTCAGTACTACTCACAGTTTCAGCTGTAAGCTAAGGGTCTTGGAACCATGTATCTTCCACGGATAAGGGGGGACTATTATACAGAAACAAACCTGTAGCAGAAACCTTGATGCCCCACCAAGATCTTTTCTGCACTCACCTATACACAATAAATCTGCTTATTAAAAACACCTGCCTGAGGTCCTATTTCTGGCCTCGGAAGTATGCTAAGCTCATGTTCAGAGTGATTCTGAAGGGTCAGAAAGTTAATGCTTCTGGAAGAATCCCTTACCCAAGGATGATGGATAGGGAGCAACAAGTACTCCAGCTTCCTCACCGCTCCAGTGACATAACTCTGAGCCCACTTACTTGCGTATTCATTTATTTCTCCCCCAGTGGCCTTACATCTCAATTGCCTACCATGGTAACCTGCTCCATAAAGCAAACTTCCCTGGCTTCCTCCCTTCCCTCTCTCATGTCCCCATTATCTTCTGGTGCTTATAGGGATCAACTACCAAATAAATTAATTGCACTCAAATCCTCATCTCAAGCTCTGCTCTCAGGTGAACAAACCTAAGACAAAATCCAAATTCATTAGACAATGGAAATTATAATAATAATGTGAACATTTGTTCCCAAATTTCATTCCATTGTAATCACATTTAAATTACCTGGAAATTTATTTGTCCTTTCCAAAGGCAAAGTATACACAATATTTTCTTCATTTTCTGTTTTTAATTTAGCACCAGGGATGTGATGATTAATGAAGGATGTTATTTGTTCTGGATCACATGTTTCATTCCTATACAAACTAACATTTAAAAGGAAAGACAAGTCATTTGCATTTTTTTCTCAACTGCTACCACAAAAAAAAAGTGCTTTTACTAAATATCTAGCCATTGAGCACTATTTTACTGGGCTGTGTGGAACAAACAAAATTAGTAAATAATAACATTAATAATAATCCATCCATTTAAAAATCTTATGGTCTATACACAGAAGATGTATAAACTCAGAACAACTACAAATATAATAACCAATACATAATGTACTTGAAGCTATATACCAAGTATGAAGATAAACAGAGGGAGGTGAGAACATTAAGCAGAAGAGACTTCTTAGGCAAAATGATTATACCAGATCACGTAGCTATCAGAAATTAGTGGCTAATAGGGAAATTTGGCCCATATCCATGTTTTGTTTGGCCATAGAGGTTATTTTTTAAAATTCTTTTAGCCTGAATATACACTTTCTTGTTAGGCACAGTTATCACCACTCTTCACCCCCAAATTTATTGCTTGTTGATACTGGCTTCTGAAATTATTTGCCTCTGTGCCCTATGAAAGAACAAAAACCTATTACAGAATTATATGGATCAGCTGAGGAAAGTAGAGGGTGGGAACAAATTAGAAGTTTAGGCTGCACAGAGCAGCTCCCTGGAAAAATGGTACATGAAGTAGTCCTTATGTGAACAGTCATCCTTGGTTTATATTGTTGAAATGTTGCCCACTATTAACATTAAGAAAGATACAAGGAGGCAGAAACATCAAAAAGTATTGATCGATCCAGTATGGCAGAGATGAAGCAGACAGCCAGTTCTCTTTGATGATTGTCCACCGTTTTGATATTCCAGTATTGAAAACACATATATCCAGTCTATTCCCAAAGTCTTTACCTTAAGTGATATCCAAGACCCCATTTTCTCTTCAAAAAGATAGAAGAGCCTGCACACTTCAATCTCCCATTGGACATGATCACTTTTCTATCTGATTAAAAAGAAGCAAGGGAGAAAAGATATTAGGAGTCATTTCTTCCCACTCTAGAAAATAAACGTGAGGAGCCAAAGTTCAGAATTCCAAAAGAGAAGTGTCCTATGAGGCATAAACTACATCCACTGTGCATTTTAAAATTTGAAACACATATTAATTAAAAAGGATGCGTTTAATTTAAAATAAGCCCATGAACATCAGTCTATGTCAGTACTCTCCAGTATTTCCTGGAAAAAAAACCCACACAAATTATGTGGTTCTACTCAGATGCTAAACAATGAGTGGCTATTTTTCAACCCAATATATGTTAAAGATTTGAATGTTTAAACTAACTGATAGCTGACCTGAAAAAAGGAATCACAATTTTTCATTAGTGGTCACAACCTAACAAATGCACCACCAGGGAGGAATTTCACTGTGGAACTCAACTCCTATCATTTACCCCCGGAGACTGCTATGGAAAGTCGGTACACCAAGGTAATGAGAGCAGGGCTCTTACTCTGGAATAAACATTGCTTCTAAATTTCCCAAGTTCTTTACGGTAATACTGAGGTAAAACCAACAATTACCAGCCAGGATGTCAGCCTCATCCATGAACTGAGTGCTGAAGAGGACGACATGATCTGCTCTACGTTCCTTCAGGAGGCTCCATACTTGATGCCTTGAAAAGGGATCCAGTCCAGTAGTTGGTTCATCTAAGAGCAAAACCTACAGAGAATAAAGATATATAAAATATATCTCTCCTTCATGTTAACTGTTTCCACATGATAGCATGAAAAACAATAAAAAAAATAGTAACTATTCAACCATTTGTCTCCAATTTGCTTATTTTTATAGTTAAACATAGCAGGTTCTCTCTTGATACATTACAATGAACGCTCTACCACTTTTAACAGAAGAAGAACTTGATGTTTTGGGGATATTCAATCTGCTTTCTTCCCCATGCATAATCTCACTTACCTGGGGATCTCCTAAAATGGCAATCCCAAAGGTCAGCTTTCTTTTCTGTCCTTCACTTAAATGTTCAGCAAGGTTATCTTGAATGTTTTGCATGTCCAATTCCAACAAAATTCGTTGTACCTATATGAGAAAATATACAAAGCTTAAAATCCAAAGAGATCCATATTATGCAATTTTAACTGCCCATTAATGCAGCAGACATTGTTTATGGGACCTCCTTGCCTAAATGTTACTCATAACAGGGCAGATAAACCACGAAAGGGAACTCTGTGGTCATGATTTAACTTGGTAAATGGTTGGCAGTTCAGTTAACCCAAGCATGCCTATTACCTCTTGTTCCACTTCCTGTGGATGAATCCCTTTTATTTTAGCAAACAGGTTGAGGTTTTCCTTCACAGTGAGCATGTCAAATTGAACATTGTGTTGAGGACAAATACCAGTGATCTTTCTTATTTCCTCCAACTCTTGCATTTCAGAGAGATTTTTATTATAGATAGTAACTGATCCTAAGAATAGAAGTTAAAAATAACTTAATGTTGGCAAGATAATACATTTTATTAACATT